GTGAGCCACCGGTGCCCGGCTCAAAGTTTTGATAACCTTGTAATGCTGTTATTATACCTGGGATCCCTGCGCCAAGGTGTATCTCTTGTCCATCCTGCTTTACTTGTGCTTTATAAGTCTCAAGTGTCTTATAAAGTGAGGTAATTCAATGGCCTAAAGGCTGGGTGAAGGCTCAGAATCAGGGCCATTCATCAAATACAAGGATGACCTACTGTAGTGGCCACAGTCTGCTGTGGTCAGCTAAGATGTGCCTGGAAAGAGGGCAGAGAAACATGCAGTGTGAGGATTCTGAGCACTTAGGCCAAGGGAAGCTTAGATGAGGGTAAAACAGGGTGAGGCTCAGAGGTCCTGTACCCTAAGTACCTTTTTATAGCTATTTATTACCAGTGTCCTGGCAAAGCCACAAACAGAACCAACTGTTTGCAGTGTCCTCCGAAGGAGGCTCAGGGTACAGGAAAACCTAAGCCCTGCCCTGCGGTCAGCCCTGTCTCTAATGGTCTAGGGACAGCCAGAGGTCAAAGTCCAGGTGTCTCCAGAAGGGGAGCCTCCCTGGGCTGGGATACCTGCAACTTCCCTTTACCACCTACTACCACAGTGACACCCAGTGACATTCCCTGAATCTCTGTGAACCTGCTCACTCAAACCAGTTGGCCACCATTCCCGGGGTAACTAGGACCTCAGCTTTTCTTGGCTTTCTGCAAAATAACAGCCTTCTCTCAGACCCCGAAGTGGAACAAGGTGAGAGTTGGGTTTCTCAAGGGTCTCTCATTCAAGATTCTGGGGTTCAGAGTATCAATGCCTGTTATGCCCAGTGTCACTTGTTCGTATGGAGAAAAGGGCAGAAATCAAAAGATGACCTCCCATTAGTTCCTTCCCACAGAGTAACATCACCTCCCAGCCTCGGCTGGCCCTGCGCGCTCTTATTCCCCAGTGTCTAGTTCAATGGTGGCAGGTCCTTTGTGGTGAAAGGGAGGAGGCCTAGTCCTGCCCCATCCACTGCTGCCTGGGCCAGGTGTAATTTGAACCCTGTTCCAAGCAGCAGGTTATCTTGCTGCTGTAGTAAACATGAAGAAGCAGAGATAACTATCTCCCATCTCCAGCAAAGAGGAGGCAGCTGGCCTGCTTGGAAAGCCCCCCCCCGACCTCTGCCCACCCAGTAAGTGTTATCTGCATCAATCAGAGTCATGATGAAGTTATGCCTTGGTGCCCATAGGAGGCTCACACAGAGCTAGATGGATACACAGCACAGCACACGTGCATTCTAGCACATTCCCTTCTGGGCACCCTCAGGTACCTGTAGAGGCTTAGGAGCAGCATAAGTTCACTATCCAACACCTCTCATACAGAACACTAAGTCCTCGGGGACCCATACCTCTTGTCTCTCCACCCAAGGAATATCCACAAAGTACACATTTATTCCATGTGTGTCAGCTGGCTAAATGTGTATATATATTTATGTGGAGGTGGCATATTCAGCCAGCCCCCTATCAGTGGTCCCTGGGTAACTTACTTGAAGTTCTCGGGGTACTCAGTGATGGCCATGTTGATGACATCCAGGGCATGCTGGTAGTGCTTCTGAGCAGAAAAGAGCAGTGCCAGCAGATGGAGGGCATTGGCATCGTCCCTGCACACTGTTAGAGCTTCCTGCAGCTGCTCTATGGCGCTGGAGATCTGCCAAAGGAAAGTGTCAGCTTAGGGACCTTCCCCTGGGTTGTGTGAGGTACTCAACTCAAGTGAGCCCTGGGCACTGGAAGGCAGGAATGTGCGTGGATAAAACACATCCCCCAGACAACCTGGCAAAGATGGACCTCCATGGGAACTAGGGGAGAGCAGGTTTCTAGTGCAGCATAAAAGAAGCTGGAAAGACGTTGGGCGGCAGCACCTCTAATGGGAGAAGGGAAGCCTAAGGGAGAGGTAACCTGGCCATGAGTGGAAGCCGTTTCCTGGAGCAGTACAGTCACAGAAGGGGTGGGGGAGATGACGAAAAGGAATGCTTCAACTAGGTGCTGGTGGCTGACATGGGTAATCCTAGCTACTCAAGAAGCTGAGATCTAAGGACCACAGTTCAGAGTCAGCCTGGGCAGAAAAGTCCATGAGACTTTTTTTTTTTGGGGGGGGTCCGGTCGTGGGGCCTGAACTCTGGGCCTGGACGCTGTCCCTCAGCTCTTCAGCTCAAGGCTAGCACCACTTGCGGCTTTTGAGGAGTCGAATCCAGGGTTTCAGGCATGCAAGGCAAGTCACCTTCCCAGCCCAGTCCATGAGACTTTTATCCCCAATTAACCACCAGAAAATTGGAAGTGGCACTGTAGCTCAAGTGGTAGAGCACTAGCCCTGAGTGAAAAAGCTTAGGGACAGTGCCCAAGCTCAGTTCAAGCTCCATGACCACCACCAAAAAAGAAGGAAGGAAGGAAGGAAGGAAGGAAAGAAGGAAGTCTTGCTTCTTAAAAAGTCTTACATATCGGCTTCTTGCGTGACCTGAGGAGGATCCTCCAGCCCTTACTCCGCCAGGCCTCTCGCACTGGCCTGGTCTCACCAGGCCTCTGTGTAGGCTATGAACACCAGGGTCAAGCCCAGAGTTATCACATAGGGAAACTCACTGTGTCTAAGCCAAGGAAAATAGGAGAAGGAAGCTAAGATCAATGTGGTTAAAAGCTTGGCTTGTCTGTATTCAAAGGCTGCCTTTGCTCTGTGATTCTGCCAGAATAGATGCCATTATCCTGGGCTAACCCTCACTGCTTTGATGCAGCCAGCTATGGTCTGACTGGTTGGTGAGCCTGAGATATAGTCTTTGAGCTTTGCTAAGAAGCAAGACTCTTCAAAAACAGGTTCATGGAGGAATGGCTCAAATGGTGGAGTGCCTGCCTAGAATCCACACAGGGTCCCTCCACCTCAAGGTTGCCAAGACCTAGGATCCCCAAGAAAGCTGGGCATGAGGCCTCCCATGGCCCAGCCAGCTATCTTGCTAGGAGGAAGGGCGCCAATCGGCAGAGATGAGTAAATACTTACAGAGATGAAAAAATGAATCATTGATAGTTTATCATTAATTTGATTGGCAAGAAAAGCACCAGGTTCTTTTACAGAGGGCTAAATATAAAGTAAGTTATCTCAGGTATCTTTCCATCTAGATTTCTGGGGGCAGAGTGAAGCTCCTGGAGAGAAACACACAAGAAACCAGTGCCTGGGCCAGGGCCTGGAATCCAGCAGTGTGGGTGCAGCATGGAGGTAGTGGAGGAGTGAGTGAGTCACAGGAAGGGAGTGATGTGAGAGGAAGGGAGAAAAGTGCAGACAGTATTGGGAATGACAGCAGGGCCCCTGGATCTGGCCATCAAGAAGTGTGACAACTAACCTGTCGGACAAGAGCCAACTGCAGAGAGACATACAGGATGATCTGGGGATCATCAGGAGCCAGTTCCTGGGCTCTGCATAGGAAGAGACAGTCAAGTCAGTCACCAATGATTGAGTATCAAGTGTGTGACTTGGATCTGCAGCCTGCCAGCACTGTGCTGGGTGCTACAAGGGCATTAGGTTTGGGCGGGGCTGGGGGGGAGGTGTTGCCAGACTCTGATGTAGTGGGGTGTCCACTTGAGATATGACAACTCAGACAGAAGGCCCAAAGGCAACCCACAGCAGGGGACACAGGTTCTGGAAGGATGGCACTAGCTGAGATTAGAGGCCTTCTAGGAAGACAGCCTGGAGGTGGCAGATCCCTCCTATAATTGGAAGTGGGGAATGGCAGCGGGTACATGCATACCATTCTGAGCATTTGTCCAAGTCATAGGTTAACACCTCCCCGAGGGCTCAGGGACTGGGAATACCTTCTCTGGGCAAGAAGCCTTGACAATGAAAAGCTCCATTGATGCTCCCCATTCTCTAAAGCTCCAGGGGGCTAGCCAGGCATGGAATCTTCCTTCATGGTTGGGGAATGACCTGCCCTGCGTGGGGCTGGGATGCCACATGCTCCAATAAGGAGGGAGCTTAGAATAACTGATATGAGGCAGACAGAGGAGGAAGGAGAGGGAAGGGCTTTGTTGCCTGCCTCCCTCCCTTCCTACTTCTTTCCCTCTGACCTCAGGCTCCCAGGAAATCTCTGCAAGATCTGTGGGACAGGGGAAGGGAGAAATGGGAGCTGAGAGTGGGGCTCAGTTGGTTGTCTCAATGGGTTGCCCTTGCTAACTGTGTGACCTATCAAAGACTTCTAGCTTCTCTACCCCGAATGGAGCCACAGAATCCTCCATTTCACAGAGGGTGGACACATCAGAGGGCGCAGGAGGCAAAGCATGTGAAAATACTACCTCAAGCCTCCAGAGACAGATAGGGCTTCTGCAGGCTGTAAGGTCTCCTCACCTTTCTAGTGTCTGCAGGGCCTTGCGGTGCAGCTCATCTTGCTTGGACTTCAGGGTGGCTGCAGGAGAGAGAACAAAGTCTGAATCATCAGAGGGGCACTGAGAGTTACCATCCCTACCTGACCCCATCACCAGGACACAGAAGTGTTGCAGATGGAAAGCCCACCAGGACTCAGTATGCAAACCTCAAGGTCCAGCAGCCCCGGCTGACACAGTTGTCTCAGCCACCCAGCACATTCCTTGGCATGTGAGTTCCTTCCATGGCTTTCCCTGCCACCTAAACCCATGTGACCCTCTCAAAGGCCCAAGCCTCCAAAAACTGTAACTAAGATGTTCCTTCTGAAAGGCCCAATCCCCAAAAGGCCACCAATTCCAGGCTTCCTTACCCACCAAGTTGTATCAATCTAGTACTTTGTCAGTAAATGGCATGCAGCTTTAAATGAAGCAGGGCAGGCATTTTTAGCTTTAGTACCACACTGAGCACCTGAGGAGCCTTTCCATGACTGTGGCTAGGTCCATCCTTTACCATATCAGATTGGGGAGGACCAGGTACAGAGCTGTCCGTGCTCCCCAGCTTAGACAGCTGCAGAAGCCATTGCTGCTCAGACAAAGGCTCAAGGCACAGGAGACCATTTTGATAAAACAGACTGTGACCAAGGGACTAGCGACTCTTCACTAGAAGACAGGGAATGGTTAATGCCAGTCTGTACCCAGCTCCCCTACCCAGCTTCTCTCTTCAGGTAAGTGAGGCTGTGCAGGGCCTCTGAGCCAAACAACATGGCCTGTACCAGGGACTGGTGGGCAAGGGCCCAATCTTGTTCCTGCTTTGGTCTGTCCCCTCAAGCTGCAAGAACACAAAAGTAAGTGGCTATCTGATAAATGGGGAAGATGTGAGTCTGAGCTGGCATAGCTGAGGACAGAATACAGGGTCTGGACAGGAAGGACAGGGTCTAGACAGCTAAGCACAAGGATTTGTGAAGCACCTACTGTGTACTCAGCACTATGTCATATATGAAGGGAGATCCCAGAGACAACTGTGGTGGTGAGGGTAAAGATGGGCCTATGAGAAGCATAAAGAAGCTGGCAGGGGGGATGTATTGGGCACTGCAGGAGACTGACCAGGAGCTTCACAGGATAGCAGCCTGGGTCTTGTCGGAGCCAGAGCTGGGCCTACAAGTAGGACAATTGGGTCCAAAGGAGGAGTATCAGATTGGCAGCTGGCCAAGCAAGAGTAGAAAAGGAACTGAGGGTTACGTGCATGCACATATTGGGGTGTCCGTGTATGGTATGTACAAGAACGTGTAGCTATGTCAGAAAGATGACAGTATCCATGGGGAGTGGCACTGGTGGGACAAGATGCCTCACAGGCAGTTTAGAAACTGGGGTCGTCCCCAAGCAGAGGCTAGCTGAGTCCTAGCACTCACCATCAGTGGCCTGCAGGCTGTAGGTGAGACCCAGAGCCAGGTAGCCTTTGGGAAGGAACTCTCCAGCTTCCTCTCCAAGGCCAATCACCATCATGGCAAAGTGCTCTGCCTCCTCCAGCTGCAAAGAGGAAAGAGGCAGAGGTCACTGGGTATGGCGGGTAACATGGTACCTGAACACTGCTGAGCAAGTGCTGGCAAGAACAGCAATTCCTCACATGTAGCAGCATGAGCAGAGGCCAAGAAGCTGTCTAGGTCATACAAGAACTGAGTGGAAGAATCAGCTGTTTCCTTTACCAGCAAGCAATTCCCTGAACCTATTGTTACCCCTCCAAGGGGCTTTGTGCTCAGGGGTGCTACCTCTCCCAGGGAAAAGATGCCCTTCACCCAGAATTCCAGCTCTCCAAATCTTGCTTTGTTCAGATCATGAACCCGAGATAAGTCAATTCATGCCTCTCCTTCCTCAGAGGCCTCTGTAGGGCTCTGTGCTGGGCAGACAGAGGGGAGCCAGGGTCAGGTCCTGGGCCTTGGGAACATGTGCCTTGCTGGACATGGCCAGCCCTGCAGAGAGGACAGGTTGCCACTCAGGCTAGTGTAGAGTTTGCTCCCTTCCTGAGCAGGGAGCTAGGGAGCTTGAACTTTCAGAGGAAAAAGGCCTGGGGTTGTTTTTGTCCTAAGAGCAGGGGGTGGGGTGCTGTTCCAGTTGGAAAAGGACCAACTGGCAAGGGTCAGGCACCACATCGTCATAACACACATCATCACACACAACACAGGACACAGAGGGCACAGAAGGCAGGCCTCACGGACACTGGGGTACACAGAATTGTTAGGCCTGCTGAGGTGGCAGGAAACATTACAGTTGGGGGCAGCAGCCATGTCCATTCCCACCATGTGCTTCCAAATAATTCCCCTTCTCTGTCACCCAACTGGGCCATGTGCCTGGTGCAGTAGCTTCCAGAAAAGGCAGGGATACTTCCTCCACCCCACCCAGTGGGAGGCATCAACACCTTCTAATCACAGATATCTCCTCCAGAGGCTCATACAGTCAACCAGGGGAGTAGTGACATTCATGCCAGACAGCTTCTGAGATTTGGCCAGGGACACTCTGCCCACCTCACCCCTGCTCAGGCTACCCTCCACCCCCAGCAGCACTGGAAAGGGGCAGGTCTGTGAGTCCTGGAGTATGACCATGGCCATCGCTGGGGAGAGTAGACAGCATACAATTGAGATCCTGAGATAGAGGTCATTAGGCAAGGGAAGATGAGCTGGGTTGAGCCTCCAGTTTGAGGACAGCCACAGTAAGCCATGTGAGAGAAACACTCACACACACACACCACCACCACCACCACCACCACCACCACATTGGAAGAATACAGAATCCGCCATGTAGAGAGGGAGATGGAAAAACTCACAAGGCTGAATGCACTATGTTATTACATGGCCAGCACCATTTTGGTTTCTTATCATTTTTTTTTCCTCCTCCTGGTACCAGGTTTGAACTCAGCACTTTGCACTTGCTTGGCTGCTGCTCTACCACTTAAGCCATGCTTCTAGCCTGCCATTTTGCTAATTATTTTGGAGATGGAGTCCCTTGGACTTTTTTCTGTCCAAATTGATCTCAAACAAAGATTCTCCAGCTCTGTCTCCTGAGTATCTAGGATTACAGGATGAGCCACCTGTACCTGGCTACTATTTTGAGTACCACTCACAAAGCAGGCTTTCTGCATGTGGAGTCATTGCAGTGATAATAAGGAAAAATATTATACTAATCCTATCAAGTATGACAATATATAGCACAATAGCACGAAGTATTAGTAAACATGAGTGTTCTAACTAGCAAGTAAATAGGGAGAATGCTGTCACAGGAAAAGCAGAAGTTAAATTAAAAAGAAAAAAAACACTTCATAATACACAATTCCTAGACTCTAATCAAGTGTGGGAATTTGAAAGCCCTAGGAATCTGGCTCTGCCATCTTGTCTCTGAAGTGTTAGAATCCCAACAACTCCATAACCAGTTCCTTCCTTACAAACCAGCTCTTTGCAGACAGGCAAATGCAGCTTGGTGATATATTGATTAGAACAAAGCTCTGGGCCACACTGCCAGGGCCCAAGTCCTGACATGATCATTCCCTAACTGAGTAACCTCAAGCAACTCATTCTGCTGTGCCTCAGTTCCCTCTTCTGTAAAATGAGGACAACAGTGTCTCCCTCATAGGATTGCTGGAAGGACAAAGTGGTAAGACATGGAGAATGCTCCAAGTGTTATTTGCCTAATGTCAAATGTGTACACATGTTATATACATGTCATGTTAACATTACATATATGTAGTCTGTCTATATAATATATATATATATATATATATATACACACAAAAGAAAACAATCTCACTTACAAATTACAAAGTAGCATTAAAGGTCCTCTAGAATGGGGGGTGGGGAGGTACTATTGTATGCTTTTTATCTCTTGGACTGCTCCTAGTCACAGAAAAACAGACTGTAGGACAAGCTGATGATGATGGTCAGTCTTGTCTGCTGGGTATTCTAGCTCTCCGACCCCACCCATGTCCAGGACACATGGACAAGTAGCCACCTGACCCACTGGCTGTCACAAACTCACCCTTCCCACAGGTAACACACTGGACTATATTCCCCCATATCCTATTCTCTTATGGCCTATTTAAATTTTTCTTTAAGTATTCTTTTCCACAACCCACTAGAGAGATGTGATCTTAGTCTCTGTTCTAATCTGATGATCCAGTCCCTTCACTTTTACCAGCTATCACCGCCATCTTCCTTCCCCTGCCTGGTACCTTAGAGGTACCCTTTTCCAGACCCCAAACACTTCCTTCTGTGGCTTCAGGTTAACTGGTGGTAACCAGCTGCTTCTGTGACCAGCTCAGGTTATAACACCGGGTCCCTTTCTTATTCCAAAATCTAGGTGAGGATATCCAGTGTTCCTGTCAATCCCACCCCCACAGACTGTCATAACATGCTCCTTTCCCCAGGGCAGTCATGCAACCGCCCCATGAAAACCCAGGAAGGTCCTCCCTGCTTTCCTGTGAATCCAGACAGACTGAGGCTGACTTGGCATGTTGCAGCACCACAGCTACCTAATGAACAGACTTTTTACCACTGGAGATTTTAACGCACAGGGAACTTCCATGGCTCACCCAGAGTCAGTCAGCTAGGAGGTGGTAGAACTGTATTTAATCTCAGGTCTACTGGCTCTGAGACTTTGAGATTCATGGCAAGCCTCTGTTTTGTTTTGTTTTAATCTTTCTCAGGATGCGTAGGACATTTTGATTGTTTGGTTTTGCTTTATATAAGGAAAACTTCCCTGCGACTTCCTTCAGTTCCCCTGTCTGTAGCTTTCCTAATTTGGTCCCTACATGAGCAGCCTTGTTGCTGGCGCTTGAAGTTGGTGCTCAAGCTGCCTTCTATCCCCAAGGGCAGCCAAAGAAGTTTCACCCTCAAATTCTCTACACTTTTCTCTCTGTCTGGGGATAAGAGAAATGTTCTTTCTGAGCCTACAGGATTCTGTTTAAAGAGACCTGTTTTTTCCTTAGTTCTTTCCCACAGGGCTCAGAACCTATTGTTTTGGGAAATTTACTTTTTTCCTTCCTGGGAGAGAGGAGAAGTCACTCTCTCATTTCTGCAAGGCTGTGGCAGGAGAGCTGGCATTTTAAAAATTAATTAATTTTTGCCCCTGCCTCATAAAGGCTTCCATCTTCCTGGCTCTGCCACTCCCGAATTAAAAAAAAAAGGGGGGGAGGAGGGGGAGGAAGGGTTGGTCCTGAGGCTTGATCTTAGAGGATTCTCTCTCAGCATTTTTACTCATACCTGATACTCTTATCATTTAAGCCATGTGTCCAGTTAAGCATTTTGCTGGTTAATTGGAGATGGATTCTCTCTCTCTCTCCTCTCTCTCTCTGTGAGATGGAATCTTGAGGACTTTTTGAAATGAGCTCCTCTAGGTCTAAGCCTCCTCAGTAGCTGGGATTAAGGTATAAACCACCAATTCGTAGGCTACATCTTTTCTGAGTGCCCACCAGTTTGAAGGGATTGTAATAGCAACAGTGACCATTTACCAGGCACTTGCACTGTGCCAACCAGGGATGTTCCTCACTTTCTCTGTGAGTTCACAGCCACCCTATCACACTGGTTGTGACATCAAGATTCTAGATGAGAAAACTGAAGCTCAGAATGAGTTAGTTTCTCAATCACATAGCTAGTAAGGAGGCAGGCAGGAATCAGACCTCTAGGTTCTCTGCTCTATAGCCTAAGCCTTTCCCACACCCTTGCTGCCCCAGGGGATGTACACCCTTTCTGAAGATGCATACACCAGTGTTCCATTTCACAACCTCCTCTGCTGTCTGTGACACACAGCACACATGCACATCCTGTCCTCCAAGCTTCCTACAAAGCTTCCAACTTGGTACATAAAATGTATTTGGAGAGATATTAAAAATTACCTACATCTCCTTTTCCTCCTGCTCTAAAAAGGAGGCCCCAGCAGGTTGCAGACCAAGCCAATGCAGCAGGCTGCCATGCAAGCCTCTTGGTTTTGAGGACTACTGTCCAGGCTGAAAGCCTGGGAAATCCTACCCCATCCAGGAGCCTCTGGCTGAGCTCTGGGGAGCCATACTCTTCCTTGCCCCACCCCAGACCTGCTCCAACTACTGCTGCAAAGCTTCCCAGCCAGCATGTGACCATCCAAGTCCCTCTACCGAGCCCCATCAGGGGGCAACCTTGCTTGGGGGTTCCCTTGCTGGCCTGGGATACAGGGACAACAGGTGCTCCATCTCAGGGCACACAGCTACCCAGGCTAGTTCTGCCCAGCACAACTTGTTTTTGAAATGTCTCAGTTTCAGCCTCCCGTCCTATAAGCCAGGGCAAATGGTCCACCCCCAGATTTCTGTCCCCCGCTCACAGGGATTGACTAGGCAATGTATGGGCTTGCTGGCGGCTAACATGAGCCAGAGAGAGGTACAAAAGCCAAGAGACAGAATCTGCCCTTCAGGATTCTTGCCTTGCTTTATACACCATTGTTCCCGTCTGTCATCAGACCACCTTTCCTGCTACAGCCTTGGGGACAGACGGTGAGAGGCTAAATTGTGCCTCTCCTGGCCTCCCTAGAGAGCAGGCTGCACGTGGCCACTCCACAGTCACCTCTCAGCCTCGTGCCCATCTGTGAGCCAAGAACTAGCCACAGAGAGCAAGGAAAACCACTGTGCCAAATGCAGACCTGGTCCTACCCAGGTTAGCTAGGGCCTGTGACCTAATACAGGTTATGAGTTAACACCTACTGTATGCAAACTTTCTCTGCAAGGAGAAGGGACCAAAGTGCATGACAGGGTAAATAAAGAGGATCCTCATCCAATGGACAACACAGGACCACACTAGACAAAAAGTCATTACAGAGATTGTTCTCAAGAGCAGGGAGGGTCTACCTACCAACTCATCACATGGAACACCAAGCCAATCCTGCCCACTGGAAGCACGGAGGCTCATACCTCAGTACAATCCAAAGTAGGTATAAATGAAGCTTCAGGAGGAACTTGGGGGAGCCTCCAGACCAGGCCAGCTGCCAGTAGTCCACCCCTACCCACATGCAAGGCCTCCTTCTGCCTATGACCAATTTAAACCCTAGCTCTATCCAGCCTGACACTCAACCTGCTCTTGTCTGCTTAAACAGCTCACCTTTCTCCCCATTCTGATGACAAGTCTGCATGTTTGAGCTTCCTTTTGGGCTTTTCTATTTATGTTGTCATTGATTACTTTGCTCCTAACTCATCTGATTTCAATTTGGACTGATTTGATCCTAATTTTATTACCATGTAATCTGAATGCACATAATTACTGTAATTATGCTGTGGAGGGAAACAGCTCCTCCATGGTAGGAAGACCTAAATTTAGGGCTTCCTGGCAAGGGTGCCGTTGGCTGGGTGGACCCACAGTTCTTTGGAGCTGGCAGTCACAGGGAACACAGATGCCCTCCCCTGTCCCGCCCCCAGGGACATGGTATTTTGGGCTTCATCTCAGGGATGAGCTTCAGGTCTGTCTCCAAAGCCCTGGAATAAACAGGATCTGAGTTGGGAGTTGGGAAACCCACTCCTCTGTATCCTCCAGCATCCATCACCCGTTGTCTGGTGGGCCTGGTCTAGGTCTCTGGGATCTGCCTGTATCCACCCATAAGCCACCCACATACTCACCAAGGTACCTGACCTCTATGGGGCAAGACATCTGGGCCTTCCTCAAAAGATTAAGAGAAGGTATAGCTGGGGGTAAGAGGTAGTCATCTCTGATAAGCATTGGTCTGAGTGGGGAAGTCAAACTGTAGTGGAAGGGCTTTCCACTGGCAACCTGCATCCAACCTGACCTCCTAGCTTCAGATAAATCTAGTTGAGTTTCCTCCAGATGTTATGTCTATGTCACTTCTGAGAGACTATTATTTCCACTTTACAGATGAGGAGACGGAGGCCCAGCAGTTTCATGTCTTACTCAGTATCACTCACTAGATAGGGAACAAACTAATAACTACTGCAGCAAACCTACCCTTCCCCAAAGCCTAGCACCTGTTATGTATGTAACATGCCATATGTAAGCCTTTCTCTCTTCTTTCTCTCCTTTCCACAATCTGCAGCAGAGCCCAGAGCCGGCACTTAAGACACAGGGGAAAGAAAGAAGAAAGTGCTGGTGTTACCCTTCTTTTTTATGTAGGACATCCATCCTCCCCACAGCAGAAAGAGACTGAGGCACAGGATAGTGCCTCCAGTGGGGATCTGGAGTGAGGTGGGGGAAGGGGGCAACAGTTTCCTGAGCTTGGAAAAGGTATTAGAGGTCATGGAATTTTCAGGGATCTTGTTGTCTTCCTTCCTGAGGCCAGTGACTTGTCTGCAAGGAGGGGACAGTGGCAAAAGTTGTTAAGGAGCGTTATTATGAAGCACCTGCTAGATACATCCAGAGACTAGGCACTGCCACCTTAGCACAAAGCTGGGTATGTGACAGTGAGTGAAATGTCAGGCTTACAAAAAATTAGGGAGGGCTGTCTTCACCTCAGCACCCTCTTTGGGGGACTCCTGGGCCTAGAGTGTAGAGGAAGGAAATGGGAATGCCTAGCCTGAAGGAGAAGAAATGAGGGGTAAGAGCTCACAAATGGAAGGGATGAGGTACTTGTCCCATGTCTGGTACAAATAGGACCAATTTCACTTGGAAGAAGAAAAAGGGGAAAGGAAATAAAGGGTGAGTAATGTTGATAACAGGAATTTGGGGGAAGCAGGGGAAGAGACACAGGCTCTGTTGGGTGGTTATGGGAAGAGATTAAAATAACAAGGAGGATGAATATGATCAAAATAGATTGCCTGATAACAGTAATTGGGGGAGGGCAGGAAGATTAGGATAATAAGGATGCATATGATCAAAATAGATTATATTTATGATATGGAACAAATCCTGTGGAAATTGTTTTAGGAAGGGGAAAGGAAGGTGCAATATAGGGATGAGATTGATTGGAATACAGTGTAAACATTTGCTAATTTAAAAAAAAGGAAGAAAAAGAAATAAAGCCATTCCTGACATTAGGAGACTAAGTGGACCTAAGAAAGACAGGACTGGGGCTGGGAAGGTAGCTCAGCGGTAGAGTGCATGCCTTGCAAGCATGAGGCCCTGGGTTCGATTCCTCAGCACCACATAAACAGAAAAAAAAAAGCTGGAAGTGGCACTGTGGCTGCAGTGGTAGAGCGCTAGCCTTGAGCTGAAGAGCTGAGGGACAGCGCCCAGACCCAGAGTTCAGGCCCCATGACCGGCAAAAAAAAAAAAAAAGACAGGACTATCAGGAAGCAAGCTGCCAGGGAGAGCGACTATCTGAGCAGCCCTGGGGGAATCCAGAGCCCTGGGGCTAGAGTTCTGCACAGGCTGGGCACCGGTGGCTCATGTCTGTAATCCTAGTACTCAGGAGGCTGAGATCTGAGAATTGTGGTTCAAAGTCAGCCTTGGCAGGAAAGTCTGTAAGGCTCTTATCTCCAATAAACCACATGAAAACCAGAAGGGGTGCTATGGCTCAAGTGGCAGAGCACTTGCCTTGAGCTGAAGAGTTCAGGGACGGTGCCCAGGCCCAGAGTTGAAGCTCTACAACCGACAAGAAGGAAAAAAAAAAAAAAAAAAGAGTTTCCCACAGGCCCACAGCAGCAGCCAAGTACACCTGGCCTGGGGCTCAGGCTCCCAGGCTGTTTTTCCCCTCTGCTTTCACTTTCCAAGCTGCTGACCTTGGGGGTGGGGTGGGGTGGGGGGGGGTGCAGGAGTGTCTTCAGGAACCTGTATCTAGGAAGAGAGCCTGCCTGAGATGCAGTCTCCTACCAGCTTACCTGCCTCAGCAGACATGAGTAAGTGGGTAACAGAATCCAAGGCAGGGATAAAGGAGTCCAGGGCAGGTCTCAGTGGCTGCAGCCAAGAGCAAAGAGGGGGCTACAAAGAGGCCCCCTCCTTCTGCTATGGTTGGCTTTGACTGCTATGGTTGGCTTTGACCCCTCAGGATCGTGCCTCTCAGGCATGAGGTCACTGGAAGCTTCTAAAGTGATGGCAGGTCTAGTAACTGAGGTCTTGCCTACCAACCCCACTAATGGGCAGGTGGGAGGTACCTCTACTGTCTCCCCATTTGATTCTAAGTACCAAATTCTCTGGCCTAACCACCAACCAGACAACCTACAAGGCTGTAGGTTCTCAGAAGTCTTTTGCTTGCCTACAGATAGCTGATACCCTCATTTCCACTTCAAGTTGGATGTCCTCATCTCATTCTTACCTGGGGTGCTCTCTCAAGGGAGAACAGAACCCAGGCTCTGACCTTCCCACAGCTCACTTACCCAGTGCAAGGACCCAATGCAGACCTTGGCAGCCATCAGGGGCACAGTGGGGTCCGAGGGCCGCAGCTTCATGCACTCCCGCAGCAACGACACGGCATAGGCTGACTGCAGAAGCAAGAGCAGAATATGCTGTCATTGATCTCCCTGGGTTTTCAGACTGGGGTGGCACCTCATGGCCTCAAGGGAGAATCCCCAGACAAGCAGTCCTCCCCAGCTCAAGAGCTAGAGAGAAGCCCCCAGCAAGAGGAGGAAACCGGTACTCATGGCAGGCAAGTTCCTCCCTGGGCCTCAGTTTTCTCATCTGGAAAATAGAGGCTGTGACCTTTATCCTTTGGACCTGATAACACCTAACAGGACAACAGATGGAAGCTCTCCAAAAGGAATTCAATTTTGTACGAAGATTACAGAGGTAGAAAACAGCTCTTTAAATGACATTCAGACAGAGCTGGTGTCAGGATTGTGGGGATCCACAGGGGTTGGCAGGAAAGAATGGGAGAAGTCAAGCTGGCAGGGCCAGAGATACCCTCCAGACAGAAATCTGGATCCTTTAGGGCTTCAAGGGCTCAGCCTGGACCTTTTAAGGATGCTAAGTATGAAGGGAGAGCCAGCTATGAAGAGAGAATATGGGGGCCCAAGCAGAGACCTAAAGAGTAATAATAATAGTGTCGAATATTTCTTCACAGTGTACCCTGCTTTAAGTCAAGCATCAGCGAGACATAACCCCAAGACAAATCTGATCCTCTGCTTGATTTCATAAATAAAGTTTTATTGAAAGTCAGCCAGCCTTCCTCCTATACTATGGTCTGTGACAGTATGCATGATACCATGGCAGAATGCTATAGAAAAAGCCTGCTGAGCTAGCTGACCCCTGTGCTAAGTGTTTTGTAAATATTAAGTCACTTAAGTTTCACAACATTCTATGAGGTAGATACAATGTTCCTGAAAAGTGGAAACAGGTGCTGGGCAGGATGGTGCATACATGTTATCCTAGGTATGGGGTGAAGAGGCGCAATGTTGGTCACCATGGCCCATGTCTATCACAGCCAGGCCACCCTGGGCCTAAAAGCAAGATCCTACCTTGAAAATAACTAATGGAAAAAGGAGCTGGAGGAGTGGATCAAGTGATTAACAAGTGTGAAGCTCCAAGTTCAATCCCAGTACTACAAAAAAAAACAAAAACAAAAACAGAAAAAACAAGGCTGGCCCCCTCCTCTGTCAGGCTTCCTGTCTTAGTTGCAAAAACTCCTGTCACAATAACATATGATAGCCACCTTGATTCCTTGGTGAGGGGCTTGGAGTGGCATTCCCAGGACAGGGACATTTGCTATCTGCCATGAGCCAATCTAATGCTGGCACTGTGTATTTAGGCTCCAAAACTGTGAGCTAAATAATTGTGTCTTTACAGATTCTAAGCCTTGGGCATTTTTTTTGTAGTAATAGAAAACAGATAAATATACTCAGAATTAAGAGGCCAAGGGCCTGCCCTGGGTAGTAGATTCACTGCGGGAAGTGAGATAAGGCCATGTTCTTATCTTTAAGGAATCACAGAAAGGCTCAGGATAAAGAAGCCAAATGTCTTCATCCCCCATTACTCTCATAAGAAACAGGAGGGTAGAAGGCCAAGTCTAAGAAGCTGCTACCAAATAACAGGCCTTAGAAGACTGAGAGACTGCACTAGGGGCTGTAGCAAGGGAGGCTGTCAAACTATACTTCCTTTCTTGGGAAGGCCTCTCACCATGGTCTTTCCCATCCACACCTCCTAGCAGGCTTCTCATTAGTTCTCTGGGGCTTTTGAACTCTGGATCCTTGAAATCCAAGATATTCCAAACCCTGACCCTCTATCTTCCATCTACTCCTTCCCACCCCACCCCCACATGGATTTTTTTTTTTAATGCTGCTATTTAAGGAGCCATCTGAGGACTAGCAGTCAGCAGTCGGCTCTTTTTTGTCATGCCGGTTACCTAGCAACGCAGCCAATGCAACTGGCTGCATGGAGACCAAGAGAAGGAACAACCTAAAACATGCTATGGAGATCGTCCTTATTCCTGGAGGGCGAAATGCCTGGTATATTTATATCTCTCCAGTCTCACCTTCTGGAAGGTATAGGAGAATCTGGATTCCTCACTTTAGGCTCTTGGCAAAGGCAAGCTCTGCGCACTCCTCTGAAGGCTGACTGTCCCAGGCAGATGGATTTAGCATGCAGGATTCCCAAGGGGGATGGAGAATGTCTTCCAGAACAATCTCCGGCTGCAGAGAGCATGGGTGGGGATAGCCCAGTTTCTCCAACCTATGAAGCCTCATGTATGAGGCATTCACTGACCACCCAAACTCCCTGTGCCAGCCTGTCTAGATAGTGAAGGAAGGAGCCAGGCTGGGAAACTAGCTTCCAGAGGCAGGGAGGGAGCCAGCTTGTATCTGGACCTCTCAGGTCTCAGCTGTGTCTCCATGAAGAGGGGAGAAGACCCCTTAATTCCAAGGTGATCATGACATCTTTTCCAGAGCCCGGGCCTAGAGATCCCTTAGAAATTAAAGCTAACTTTTGCAAGGGTTGCATTCTCCTGAGGAGGGGCTCTGAGCTTTCCTCAGGTTTTCTAAGGGGTCCATGACCCTCAGAAGAGTAGACCCTGGCCTGCTCCAGGCTGTTACAGGGTAGAGGTACTTCCTGTTTCCTGGAAGTAGGAAGAAACCGCTCCATGCTGCCATATGCGATCTGCCCAGGTACCACATAAACTCTGGCTCCTCTTCTCCCCTGTCTGCCTGTTACCCACATCCTACCTACTCCGGGCTTATTTCTCCAACCCTTCCATCTTTACTCATCTCTTTTCTTCTACCAGGAATTCGGGTCCCTCCCACTGGCCTCCACCCATCTACATCCTGCCAGACCACATCCTAAGGGTCTATTTTGCTCATCCCTTATGGACAGGCCTTTCCCCTTCTATATGGTAAATCTCCCAGAGCCTTGGCAGTATGCTGCTGGGCACAGGGCCAGCAGAGCATGCTGGACTTCAAGATACTCTGAGAGGAGGCCCATGTGATGGGCTACTAGGACTGAAAAGACCAATGCCCAAGCAGAGGGCCGGAGGAGGTTCCCTACTGACTCAGCTATGCTCCATAGCGTCTGCTTGCCTGCCAGGCTGCAGCACCTGGTCTTCCTCCTCTCCCTACCAGGCCCTGGCCTGCCTGGCTGCTGAGGCCCAGGGCTGGCTGGCAACCCTCCATTTGTGGAGGTGGAGTTGGCATGCTGTGAAGGCCCTCCTCAAAGATGGCCCGCACAGCTAGAAATGGAACATGGCACAGATGGGCCAGGGGGCGAGGGATTCCCTCAGCCCCATGAAAGGGCTTTGGTTATATTTACAGCTCCTGGAACCATCTGCAAGCTCATGCTGCCTTATTTCTTGCATTCGTAGCACCCAGAGCCCCAGCCCCCCCAGCCCCCAGTACTGGAAAGGTTTTCCTTTCATGTTGCTGCTTAAAATAGAGATTGGCATAGTGGAATTCTGCTCTGAGAGAAAATTGGGGATGCTAGCACAGGAGCCAGGACAGAGGAAAATATCCTCCCTGTGCCCCTTGATCTGAGACCCCTGGCCATATCTACTCTGCCCCCTGCAAACGGCTGCTGCTCCATTCTACTCTTGCATCTCTTGTTCTTAGGCGATTTTCCAATTCACAAGCAGGTCAAGTCCTGGTGCCTCACTCAGAGGGCAGGAACAGTGACCCCTTCTTCACATGGACCACATCCCATTCCTGTCTCATGCTGCCACATCCACCAACCCACCGACTTCTGCACGGCCCTCAGAGGGTAAGTACACATACACGCGGCATGTGTGCTCGTGTATGTGCGCGCGCACACACACACACACCAGCAGCCCTCAGAGGGTAAGTACACACACACACACACACACACACACACACACACACACACACACACACACACACACACACACACACACACACACACACACCAGCAGCCCTGGGCCTTACCTTCCCACAAGCCACCATGGAGAGGGCCACTTGGTACCAAAGGTGAAATTCTCCAAATGCAAACTTCATGGCTCGCTCTAGGCACTGGGGAGAGGAAGATGTTTAGTATGTCCCCATGAGAAGTCCTATCATTTCAGCTGTTCCATCCCCCTCCAGGGTAATCGGTATCAAAATTCACTGCCCCTAAAAAGCTGCCACAGATCTGTACTTGATTCCTATTGGATATCCAGGAGAAAGAGGTCCTGCTGCTGGCTCAGACATGTGTACAAGTGTCTAACTTAATATGTGAATGATTTCACAGGGCAATGGTAAAGTGTAAATGCTTTCAACATGTACACTTCTGATAAAAAAAAATAACAGCATTGTTCTCAGCTTGTTCTGTGTATGAACTCATTTATTTGTCCTGATGAGATGGGTTCTCTGTTCCATTTCAAAGACGAGGAAGCCAAGGATGTGATTTGCTGAGGGCTCAGGTCAGAAAAAGGCAAGGCAACCTGGCAGTTAAGTGGGACCAGAGGAAGGCACAAATCATAACAGCGCCATCAGATTCCTGTTAGGCACTACCTGACTCTCTGAGTGGGGAGATGCCTGGCCTGCCATACCTCCGACAGCATGATGTACTGGCCCCTCCTGCCCAGTGTAATGCTCAGGAGGTCGTAGATGGCTGCAGCATTCTGCAGGCTCACCCTCCGGTCCTCTTCTTGCTCAGGAGCACGGCTCAGCACCACGTCCCGAGTTGCCTGTGGGTGGAATTGGTTTGGGAGAGAATAAGAAAAGAAGGTAGGTGGGTGCTTGTACCCAGAAGGTCCCACCACCTTTTCACTACTGTCCTAGGCCAACCAAGTGGCCACATTCCTGTCCCCACAGAAGCTGCCTCTGAGAAACCCTACCACTCCAGGAAATCCCACGTGGTGAGGGAGCATCCTGAGGTTCAGGGATCCTGTAAAATTTCAAAGCTACAATACAGTTTCAAGAAAAGTGTTTCAGCCATATACCCTTCACCTGTATACATCAACTACTGATATCTAGCATCCTTGCTGCCCTTCTCTAGGATAACAATCATTACTGTCCTTGTTCGTATTTTCTTTGTCATTCCAGGATCTGGTCTGGGATCTTCCTTTAGTCTCCTTTCATCTGACACCGGCTTCTGTCACGACACTGGCAGAGTATGGGCCAATTGTTTTCTAGAACTGTCCTCCGTGCTTTTAATTTTCTAAAATCATAGCAAGTTCCTCAGATGCCAGGAAAAATGGCCTGAGACAAGGCCCTGTTGTTTGATGCCCAGGAAGTAACTCAGCTGTGGCCTTTCAGTCACTCTTTTCTCTGTCCCACACTTGACCCTTCTCATCACCCTTGTCTACCCCAGACTCTATCGTTGGCTCCTTCCAGCCAACCACAAAACCCTCCTTTCTCTTGCTCCCCAGAGAGAGCTGCCTCATACTCAAGGGCACCGTTCTCCAAGCCTACCACTGGGGACCTCAAGAGCTCTCAAGAGTTGCCAGATGGCTGCTCAGGGAAGGAACCTGTGCTACAGTTGACAATTCTGTGCAGTTCAGAGGGAACTCCTTATCACCAGGCCTTCAATCCCCTAGTAAGAACGAAAGCACCTTGTATCATCAGTGGCCTGTGGTTCTATCTCTTTATCACCTCCACACTGCAGGGACAGAAGATACAGTGGAAGGCCAGGCACCGGTGGCTCATGTCTGTAATCCTAGCTACTCAGGAAGCTGAGATCTGAGGATCTCGGTTCAAAGCCAGCCCGGGCAGGAACATCCACGAGACTCTTATCTCCAATTAACCACCAGAAAACTGGAAGCAGCACTGTAGCTCAAGTGGTATAGCGCTCACCTTGAGCTGAAGAGCTCAGGGACAGAGCAGAGCCCAGGCTCAGAGTTCAAGATCCATGACAGAGAGAGAGAGAGAGAGAGAGAGAGAGACATAGTGGAGAGGGAGAAGCCAAAAATGCACTGGTCATAGGGGTTTATGAGCAACAACAGAGCAGGGACCAGGATGAGGATGCTGTGGGGCCTGAAGTTACTCCCATCCCTATATCTCACACATGTACTCTGAGAGCTGGGCCTGGCTTAGGCACAGCTGAGCTCCGGCTAGATACTTCTGCTATCTGTTCTCAGCATCCTCCTCCCTTGGGCCCTTTCCCTCTCTCCAGCATCCTGTCCTTTTCTTCACCTCCTCTGCATCTTACAGGCTCTTAAGACTAAGGACTGGACCAACAGAGAGAACAAGAAGCTGCTGACTCTGAAATGACAGCCTCCCCACAGATCCAAGGGCCCTTCCCACCCACCAGTGGTGCTCACTGCTTCCCTCTGCACAGGGCTGTGCTTCCTCTCTAGGCCAGGGTCTGAGACTCCAGAGACTCCAAGTGGTGAAGAGACATAAATTCTATACTGTAGGCTCAGGATGAAGGGCATTAATATGTCCACTGAATCCTCTAGAAAACAACATGGAGGTGATTCACCAATAGGGGTATTTCAGATAGGGATACAGACTGGTGCTACCCCTCTATCCATAATCTGTAAGTGTTGCCCATTCCTCCATGGGCGGGAGATGGATGGGCCCAGGAAAAGCTATCTACAAGAGGGAACCGGGGATTTCAGGGAAATGCACCGAAAGGCTGAGCACTGGTGCAAGTCTGGTAGATAGGAGCTTGTCAGACTCCAAAGGTTTATAGGAGATTGAGTGAGGAAGAAAAGTGTCCAGAACTCCCCCCCCCCACCGTGAAACCCACCTACACAGGCACCAACAGTGAAAGAAATGCTAGAGGAAGCCAAGCAAGAACGCATTCTGCAATCTGTGCTTCATTCCAGCAAGACACCTCCCTGCTCTCCCTGCTCCTCTACTTTTGGGCACCCAGGAGGAAGGTCTGGGAGGTGGCCTCTACCAGGCAGCAGCAGGGAGGGGTAGGATAGTAAGAAGAGGACAAAAATAGAGAAAGCCCCTTAGGAGACCCAAGAGGGGGGAGATAAGGGTAAAAATTAAACTTGGCCTGGAATTTTGGTAGAGGGCAGAGGTCAGGATGGAAGGGGGAAAGGGCAGTCTGCAGGGGTGGCTCTTCTAGCCGAGGGTAAAGGAGACAGGATTAGGGGAAACCTTGCTAGCCACACTCACAGCCTGGGGATCTACCCTGCAGATCAGTAATATTCTCCTCTCCAGACCAAGGGGCTTTTTTGTTGTTGGTGATGGTTGTGGGGCTTGAATTCGGGACCTGGGTACTGTCCCTGAGCCTCTTTGTGCTCAAGGCTAGAACTTTACCTATTGTGCCACAGCTCAACTTTTGGGTTTTTGAGTCGTTGACTGGGGATAAGAGTCTCACAGGGACTTTTCTGACTGGGCTAACTTCGAACCATGATACTCAGATTTCAGCTCCCTGAGTAGCTAGGATTACAGGCATGAGCCACTGGTGCCCAGCTCAGATAAAGTTTAAATTGCTCTCCTAGCTGGATTCCCCTGAGCTACATGCTCCTCATCCCTAATTTGGTCATGTTCTGTCTGTCCACATGGACATCTAGTTTCTCAACCCAACGCAGCCTTTCTGCTTCCTGCAGCTGGTTCATCTTGCAGGGAAAGCTGGGTCCTCCCATCCTCACTAGCACACATGTCCTGGCCTCGGGGCTCATCACTTCTTGTAGTACAAGTCACCTCTAGACTCCAAGCCCCTAGCATAGCCTCTTGCACAGAACTTCACTAATCTATCCTTGTACACTAAGCAACACCCAGAGAGGATTTGGGGCTGCAATGGAAACTCTTCTCTGTCCACCCTGACCTTGACCTCTAAGAGAACAGCCTTCTGGGTGTGTCTGATACAAGGGAGGGGTAGACTTTCAGAACTGGGTGTTAATTAGGTCACAAGAATCTGAGCAGAAGAGCAGACTACAGTAAAGCAAACCTTTCCAGTGACCCAACTGCCTAACAAGCAGACTGCAGGGAAGGCACGTTCTTGGGGGTCCTGAGGTTTTTTTTGCAAACAGACCCCAGAGCCAAGAGGAAAGTGTGATTCCCAGAGGACAGTCAAATGCTGAGTTCTGCCCAGCTGTTACTATGGTTTTAGGGCAGGGCTGCCCTGAAAAGTAGGCTGAAGCTGGTTGCTGGGCAGAGCTATGTATGTAACCATGGTAACAGGGTGGTGTGGTGGAAATGTGGAAAGGAGGAAGTTTATGGGGGCTGTCAAGGGAGTCATAAAGGAACAGGAATTCATGTGCTGTTCAGGAGTCAGAGCAAGCCTGAAACAGGACCTCAGACACCACAGGGCTGGCAGTCCCTCCCCACCAAGCAGTGCCTTCAGCTGTCCTGCTATCTCCCTCTGAGCTCACTACCTTCAGGCCATACAGCACCACCAAGCTCCAGAAGCAGCCTACCCAGAACTAGTCCCAGCTACATTCTTTCCTTTCTACCACGTACACAGCCTCAGATCCTGGTTTTCATTGGGAAATACTCCAAATCAAATGTTTGGCACCTTCAGGTAGTACCCAGCAACTAAGTCATGTATCACCAGAGCCTCCTCTATACGGTTCTTGAGATTATGGTGGGAGATTCTCCCTGGGTTTCTCCCTGCCTAGCCTGCCTAGCATTCACCATTGTAAACCCCACTTCAGAACCCTCCAGACTCCCTTTGAGGATGCACACTGCTTTAGTTTAAGTGATGTATTTAATCCCAGGCTGGGCTCCCATAGGGCTCCCTGTTGCTTGCCTTTGTCTCTCTTGTTCTCCCAGGGCAGCCTCTCCTAAAGTGCTCACCCCAAGCTTCTGGCTGTCACAGGAGGAAAGCCAAGAGAGAAGCCATGCCAGGAGAACCCCCTTTGCTCTTTGGACAAGGAGACAAATACGGAAATCTGCATTTCCCTAAAGAAACCCAAATCAAGTACAACTCGTGTTTGAACACTGCCTCCCTTCTTCCCCACCCACCCCCAGGTGTGTATCATGAATGATCCTTTTAGGAGCTGAATTCTCATGGTCATCATCTTAACTGGCCTCACAGTAATCCCCTGAAACCACTGACCCCCGCCTCCCCGGCCCTACCCAGGGAGGACTCAGAAGACTCTGAGGCCCGGAAGATGAACCATCTTGTATGGGTCTCAGGAAGCCAAGGCTAAAATGTCTGTTGGCTAGTCCAGATCCTTCCTGCTGCTTGGGTGTGCTCCAGCTGCCTCCCAGCTCCTCTGAACCATTGCTAAGGCAGTTCTCATGCTCTGCTGGCTGCAGGGTCCAGGTGGTCTTTTCTAATCTTGGACTCAGTCAGGCTAAGAGAAGGAAAGGGGTGCTCTTTTTAAGTAGTATCTCACCACCCCCATTCACCATCCCCTTTACAAATGACTGAGACTGACCAGTGCATACAGATCAAGAGGAATAAGACTTTATAAAACCCAGACATGGGGCTGGGAAGGTGGCTCAGTGGTAGAGCGCTTGCCTTGCATGCGTGAGGCCTTGGGTTCGATTCCTCAGTACCACATAAGCAGAAAAAGCCAGAAGTGGTGGTGTGGCTCAAGTGGTAGAGGGCTAGCCTTGAGCTGAAGAGCTGAGGGACAGCGCCCAGGCCCAGAGTTCAAGCCCAACGACTGACAAAAAAATAAATAAATAAAACCCAGACATTCTAGCATCACCTAAGCTCCTTCCTTTGTCTTCAGGTGCCTCCAAGGAAGCTGCGCTAAAAAAACTAAAGCAAAACAGCCAGGTTCCTGTGGCTAACACTTGTAATTTTAGGTACTTAGGAAACTGAGACTTGGTG